GTCTTGTTGGTAAATATCGTAAACTGACTAATATTTCGGCATTTATTTAAATACTAAATCCAAAGTACAATTTAACTACCAAATTTAATTTATTTAACTCTGCTTCGGACTATTCGAAATTCTAATACATTACAGCATTTTGTCAATTATTGTGATGAAGGTTTTAATTCTGAATGCCTCATTGTCGCGGAATATGTGAGAAGTTGCATCGTGGCATGTCTTCTCTCTTTTGCTGCATTTGGTTGATTTGTACTCTTGGTTATCAGTTCCTGGAACTCTCTGAACCTCGTACTCACCAAAACTGTTGCATATTTCTTGAAGAACAATTTCAAACTACTCACCAGGTTTGCAGCAGTGGGAAGGTCGATCTGAGCACTTTGCAAGCTTAGAGTGCATATGTTAAACGTCTGAAGTATATCACTCCACACCTTACACAAAATACCAGTCTCTAAAATGTGCATTGCATCACTAAGAATCTTTGCATCTTATGTCATTGCTGGTTTTCGAAATGAATCATACTTTAGGGCCTAAGACTATAGCTTTATTAGCCTATGAGATAATATGGCCTAGGACTTTGTAAAGCATCTTTTATCTGACTTTCAAAAACGTTTCCCACAACTGATGTATGACTAAAAGGTCTATAGCTACTCAGAACTTTTTATCACCCCATTAAAAGGAAAGTAATATTAGCCAATTTCCAATCTTCTGATACCATCCCACAGTTCAAGGACCTAGAAAATATAGTAGCAAATGGCTCATGTATCTAATTTCTAACCTCTTTTATAACCCTTGAGTTAATATTATCTGGCCCAAGAGCTTTATTATTCTTTATATTTCACAATTTGTCTTTTTAAGAAGCCAGAATTAATGTTATTAGCTTGTCCAATCATGTTTCCATCTAACAACTGTTCAGGGTGGGGACAGTCAGTATGGTTTCTCTGGGAGAAAATACTGGCTTAATAATCTTTTTTACATTCTTTAAAGAGGTTACTGATTATGTAGATGAGACTACAAATGAGAATTTGGTGTATCTGAATTTTCAGAAAGCACCTGACAAGGTGTCACATAAAATGCTTGTTATTTCTGTAGGTGTGGAGGATTAGTTGACTCATTGGATAGAAAACTGGCTAGATAGAAGAAAGCAGATGGTTTTTATAAATGGAGTTCAGTCAAACTGGATTAATGTCACGAGTGGAGTACTTCAGAGCTCATTGTTAGGATTTTTGCTCTTTCTGATTAACATCAGTAACATACACAGCGTAGTCACAAGTAAATAGACACCACCTTTTCAGAAAAAAATGAAAATTTTCAGTCATATTCACATGAATTGATATATTTATAATTTAATTAATATCTAGTACACCTTCCTTTCGCTTCGTGGAGTTCGTTGATGCTTTGGGGCATCGTGAGAATCATCTGGTCAATTTTAGATTGTGGGATGTTCGCCCACTCTTGCTTCAAAACTTGGAGTA